GAAATGTATAAATATGCCACAGGAATTCAGAATGTGGGAGAGATCAATGTGGTCTAGAGCTATTCTGGAAAGTATTCCATAGAGATGGGCTCTGAATTGGACAAGTTTGGACTGGTGCAGGGGCAAGCCATCCCAGGGGGCAGCAGGATGTGTCATAAACACAGCCAGAAAAACCCAAAGATTTTTTTAATCTGTGTCTTTGTGTATATACAACTGTGTATATACTTTGTGTATATACAATCTGTGTCTTATGTGTATATACAACTGTGTATATGTATATATCCTTGTATTGTGCCTTGTGTGTATATTTTAAATTTACATAACGAATGTTGTGATGAAGATTTATAATGCTTATTACTTTTTTCACTTTGTACTGTTTTTAAGAGCCCTCTATATTATACATAAATCTAGTGAGTTGTTTCTAACTGCTGCATGATGTCCCACGGTACACCTCCACTACATTTTTCTCAACATTTTCACAGAAATACACAGAGAAGTCTATTTAATTCCCTACAACTATACACACAGATACACAATCAACTGCAATAAAATTTTGAATGTGATGCTTTAAGGACCTGAATGAAAAGCCCCCGGTGATAGATCCAGATTGGATTGCTTGGACCTAGAACATAATTAGACACAATTTAAAACAAAACAAAACAAACAAAAACATTGTTATACTGCTTTCAAAAATGATCATATTAATTTGTACTCTTACCAACAGTGCCACAGAATTATGTATAAAAGTGTGATATATATGACCCAGTTGGATTTATGATCCAGTAATGGTAGGATGGTTTAGCTTTAGAAAATATATTAATTGAATTTATCATATATAAAGACAAAAGTTTAAAAAATCATATAGCTACTTCAATAAATCTGGAAAAGCCTTTGACAATTAATGGAATGATAATTAATGATAAAACACTTGGCACACTGTGTTTTAGAAGAGAATTTCCTCAATCTAGTATTAACATAAGGCACTAAAAAAAGCAAATATCATATACCAAACATCATATATTTAATCAACATGGTGAAATGTTGAAATTAACAATGCAAACAAGACAAAGGTGCCTAATGTGGTCACTTCTACCCATCTTTTTTCTGAATGTGTGCTGATATTAAAACACTCTAAAAAAAAAGCACTTGCATATCTGTATATCACCCACAAACATTTATTTGGAAAATGAAATTAAAATACTAAATATAGAATTAATGTACATATATACATACATATACATGTGTATAGCATATATTATAGTATATAATTTAAGTTTCCAAATTTATATATATATATATGTGTGTATGTATATATATGTTTCAAAAAATAATAGACTAGCTTGTAATCTCCTTTTAAAAACAACTGGAAAAACTCAATAATTTTATTTTTAATCTTTTGGAAACAACAGAGAGTAACCAAAATAGTGACAGCTTGAAAGACCTAGAGCCCAGAGAGAAAGTAAGAGAGGAGCAAGGAGTAATCAGGAAAATAAAAGGAAAATGAAGTAGCATATTCAAAGTGCTAATACCCTCCCAACCAAAACAAACAAACAAAAACACCTGTCACTCTGCAAAATAACCCTCAAAATGAAAGCAAAATAAGATTTAAAAATTGTAATTTTGAGAATTGTCACTAGCAGATTTAGACTTACAGAATATTAAAGATAGTACTGCAAGCAGAAGAAAAATTCTCCCAAATGACAGTACAGAAATGCAAGGAAGAATGAAAAAAAAAAAATGAAACTAAGTACACAAATCTAAATGAATAAGGAGTATACAAAATAACAGTAATAATATATTGTAGTGTTTTAAATATTTCTAGAATTAAGTGGGGCACTGTGGTGCACACCTATATTTCCAACTACTCAGGAGGCTGAAGTGGGAGCATCACTTGAGCCCAGGAGTTCAAATCCAACCTGGGAAACATAGTGAGAACCCATCTCTAAAAACATAAAATAAAATAAATAAATATTTCTAAAATTAAAATACCTGATGCTAATAGCAAGAAAATATGAAGGAGTTAAATATAAATGGAGTATAGTTTTCTAAGGTCCCTCATTTCCTAGAAATTGGTACAATTTCCAAATTTATATTATATTAGACTTCATTAAGTCAAAGATGCATATTGGAATTTCTGAAATAAAATAGAAATTACTAAAGTATTTTGTATAATTGACAAGATAACTAAGAAGGACAATAGAATAATAAAAAAATTTTGATTAAAACAAAAGGAAGGGCTGGACAGGATAACCCATACCTGTAATCCTAGCACTCTGGGAGACTGAGGCGGGAGGATTGCTTGAGCTCAGGAGTTCAAGATCAGCCTGAGAAAGAGCAAGACCCTATTTCTACTGAAAATAGAAAAATTATCCAGGAATGGTGGTGTGCACCTGTAGTCCCAGGTACCCAGTAGGCTGAGGCAGAAGGATCACTGGAGCCCAGGAGCTGGAGGTGACAGTGAGCTACAATGACACAACTACACTACCCATGGTGACAGAGTGAGACTCATTCTCAAAAAGAAAAAAAAAAAAAGAGAGAGTCACCAAGAGAGAAAACTGAATAGAGAACAGGTGGGACAAGTAAAAACCAATTTGTAAGATAAAATTACATAGACATCAATGATAACATGAAGTGCAAATGGAGTAGGAGGTTCCAGTTGCAAAAGATGGCAGCCTGGCCTAAATGAGATTAACATTTCACAGACAACAGTATTAAACTCTGGAAAAAGTATATTTAAAAAAATTATTTGAAAGCACTCAGAAAAGGCCAAAAACTGGCAGAAACTGGAAGGGATCTGACCCTTAAGTGGGAGAGGGGCCATGCTTTAAGGACTTTTCCCTGACAATAAACCTCAGTGTATACTGCATACACAACTTAAATTCAAGCAGAAAACTGCAGACTTGTGGCCTGGAAATGTCATATAATGGAGTTAAAGGCAGTCAGAGTGACTGTAGACTGAGCAGGGAAACTACAGAAAGGAGAAAGCATTAGAGGAAAGAGCCCCGAAGTCTACTCTCAAATCCTTGACTGATCCCTGAATTGTGTGCACAAGGCAGACACCACAGAGCCCAGCAGAGAACAACTGGAAGCCTGAAATAACTGAGTAGGGATGTCATCCATTGTCCACTGCAGGGGGAAACAGAGTTTGTAATTTGAGTTCCAGTAAAGTAGAGGCGCTTGGTAAAAAGCCTAAGCTATTCAAGGCCCATGTGATAAAACCAAGTCTTATAGGTTCAAACTGAGAAATATAAACTATGGTTCATGAATTGGAAGACAATATTGTCACTAAAGTAATTCTCCCCGAATTCATCTAGACCAAATTTATTTATTAAGAGCAATAAATTCCAGTAGACTTGTCAAAAGTTAAACATACAACCCAGTCATTCTACTCTTGGGTATTTACCAAAAAGAAATGAAAATCTTTGTATATGAATATTCACAGCAACTCTATTCACAATAGCACCTATCTTGTAACAAGCCAAATTGCTCATCAGATGATGAGTGGATAAAATATTATGGAATACAACTCAATAAGGAAAAAGAACCAACTACTGACAAATGCAACAACATAGATGAATCTTCAAAAATATCAGACTGAGTCAAATAAGCCAGACACAAAAAAATACCTTCTATATGATTGCATTTACATGAAACCCTAGAAAAACAAATCTGCTCTGTAGTACCAAAAAGCACATTTGTGCTTATCTAGGGCTAGAACACAGTAAGTATCGAGGGGTGGTGGTTCCAGGGGAGGGGGATGCAACTGACTAGGAAATGGCACATGGGAACTTTTCAGGGTAATAGTAATACTCTACATATTGATTGTGATGAGTACACAGGTGTCTACATTTGTCAACATTCATAAAACTCTCATTTAAATGAACTTAAAATGCATGTATTCTTATTATATGTAAATTGTGCTGAAATAAAACATTTTTAAAAGCTAAAGCAATTTCAAGGTAACGTTCCAGCAAACCCTGTAGCAGGCAGCAATAGTGATGATAGAAAAAGGACCACAAGTCGAGGAGATATTTAAAAGATAGATGTAGACAGGCTGAACTGCTATGGAAAAAAGAAGAAGATTCATCCAATTGCAATGACTTAAACTAGAAAACAACATAGCGGCTTATTTCTCTCTCTTGTAAGCATCCAGTTAGGTTCTGCCCCTTATGGTCATCCAGGAAGCAAAGCATCATGGAAGCTCTGCCATCCTCTGCCAATGGTCTTAGTCTAGGGTTGATGGGCCCCCAGATAAGTCCATGGACAGAATTTAGGAGGTCTATGAATCTGAATGGGAAAAAAATTACATCTGTATTTTCACTAGCCTCTAAATGAACTTTAGGGCTGGGGTCGGTGGCTCACACCTGTAGTCCCAGCACTCAGAGAGGCCAAGGCGGGAGGATCACTTGAGCTCAGGAGTTTGAGACCAACCTGAGCAAGAGCAAGACCCCATCTCTACTAAAGGTAGAAAAATTAGCCAGGCGTGGTGTTGTGCGCCTGTAGTCCCAGCTACTCAGGAGGCTGAGACAAGAGGATTACTTGAGCCCAGGAGTTTGAGGTTACAGTGAGTTATGATGACACCACTGCACACTAGCTAGGATGACAATTGGAGACTGTCTAAATAAATAAATAAATATGAAGTTTAGCAATTTCTTCAATGATGAATAATGGTAACAAATTCTGTAGTATTTAAGCAACACCTGTGGCTTGGTCAATAGTTTGAAATCACAGATATTTTCATATTATAATACAGTTACTAAAGAATCTTGAAATATCACTCATCATTCTTTGAAATTATTGTGAACATAAAACCTGGCTGCTACATTTTGTTATTTAGTGTGTTAATAAAGAATTGCTATTGACTATAACAGATTATTTAAAATGTTGATAATTATACCTCAGTATAACTGGGTTTTGTTACAATTCTATATATTTTATTTTATGTATTTGGAAAAGAGGTCATCAGACTGTCAAAGGGGCCCATGTTACACAGAAGTTTTAAGAAGCCCCTGTTCTGGGATGTTGCCATCACCTCCAGGGTCTAAGCTAGGCTGCTGCCATAGCTAGTTGCAAAAGGTAGGAAGAGGAAAGAGAGCCTGGAGGAGACATGGCACTCTTACCTCTGCTTACATCCATTTCAGAGACGTCAGTCTCACAGCCACAACCAAACACAACAGAGGCTGGGAAATGTCCTGTGACTGGGCTGCCAGTGCCCAGCTACAAGTTTCTATCACTAGTGATGAAAAAGACAACTAGCAGTCTGCATATTGACTCAGTCACATCTGAGGGTGGCCAGATATGAGCAGAAGGAGGCAAATGGTACAAAATAGTGGCCAGGTTTCTGACTGAGGATACCATTCACAGAGACAGGCAGAGAAAAGAAGCAGAGGACATTTTGCGGAAGAGAAAACATTCCAATAGGACAAGTCAACTTTGAGATTCCTATGAGCAGGGGTACTCTGATAAACCTGCTCTCCTGGAGGACCTGTTTACAGCCTTTGCTGATTTCCTGAAGTAAATACACACATTATGGTCTATTTCAAGCTACCAGGGTGATGTCGCTAAAAGAGAAGCTGGGAAGAGATGTGTACAACAGGGTCTCACAAACTGGTATAAGCCAGGTCCAGCTCACTTCTACTGGCAAGGATTTCCATGTGGAGACATCCTGAAGACAGGATATGAAGAGCTCAAGCCAAAGAATAAACTCTAGGTGAGACATTGATTCTGGAATAAATGAGAGAGGCCATAAGATCCCAAGAAGAATTCTGATTTGCAGTTATTTGGGGTTTAGAAAAATGTGATCTTGATTAAGAGTTCCAAGTAGAAAACAGATGCAAAAATGATTATGGTATGGAAGATGGGATTAATAAAGACCCTGCCATCAGTAAAATTCCTTCTTAAAAAGAAGCACTCTGGCCACTCTCAAGGAGTCAGCTCTGGCCAAAGTCAGTACTAGAACAACAGAAATGTTTGATCAGGGATATGAGCAATAGAACTGCTTGGCTGTCAGGACCAGGATCTTGTGATACATGTTTCAGCAATCCAAGGTTGGAGGGTTCAGCCTGCGGTGATTCTTCTCTCAAGTGGGGGAATCTCTGAGGGACTCCCTTCCTAAATGTCCATTCACCTAAAGAAGAAACAGGCACACAACGCAGCCCCGCATGTACTGTAACAGAGGTATACATAATAGCCTGGGGGAGCACAAGGAATTCATTACTAATTAAACTATTGAGGAAAGAACAGCTGGCATTCAAGCTCAAACTCAAATAATGAATAGGAATTTTCCAAATTAACCAGGAAGCTGTTGGAGATTGGGGGAGGGAGGTTCTGGTGTGGTGAGCGAGCACAGACGTGAAGACAGTCAGGCGGAACAGTGCAGGCAGACCCAGGAGCACGGAAAGATAAGGGTTATTTAAAGACCAACAAGAATTTCATATTTCAACGAAGTGCCTGAAGTCACTGCAAAGAGGTACCACGGGCGGAGGTCAGGTGGTTTGGAGAGGAGACAGGAATGGAAAGCAATTTGAACTCTCCAGAGCACTGTGTGGGGACTCTTTGGATGGGGGGTCTGTACACACCAGCGGCTTATTCTTCGCTTTTGAAGGGGCAGAAAAGTGAGAGAGATGGCTCTTTGGGCTGAGTTGTCTGGTGGACTCGGGTGGCCCAAGCTCCAGCGGTGACAGGCGGAAAAGGGAGAGTGTTAGCAGCTGGGCGGAGCCTCCCAGTGGGCTCCTGCCGCTCAAGCTCCGCTGGTGAAGGGCAGAAAAGTGAGGGTGTTTGTTCCTTGGCGGAGCCTCCCAGTGGACTCCGGTGGTCCAAGCTCCGCCGGTGACGGGGTGGAAAAGGGAGAGCGTTCGCTCCTTGGCGGAGCCTCCCAGTGGACTCCGGTGGTCCAAGCTCCGCCGGTGACGGGGCAGAAAAGGGAGAGCATTCGCTCCTTGGAGGAGCCTCCTGATAGTCTCCGGAAGCTCAAGCTCTGCCTGTGAGGGGTGGAAAAGGGAGAGTATCCGCTCCTTGGCGGTGCCTCCCAATGACTTTAGTGGCTCAAGCTCCACCTGTGAGGGGGTGGAAGAGGGAGAGAGATTGCTTTCCAGGCGGTGCCTCCTGGTGAGGTCAGGCGGTCCCCCCATTCCACCCAGCCACCTGTGTTTTGCGCCTAAAGAACAGACCCCACCCTAGGAGGGCGGAGATGGGAAGGAGACTGATTTTCCACCTGTGACCTGGGACAACAGGAACACCCACATTTTCTTGTGTTTTGAGCTGAGTGCTTCCCTCCAAAGCTACAGACTCCACCCCTGGGTGGCATTGTGAAACAAGCCATTTTTCAAGCTGAAACCGGAGGCTGGACTGCTACCTCCTCTTGCTTATTATCTGCTGCTGGCCCGTTTTTCCTCAAAGGGCCAGATCCCTCCCCTGAAAGGGTTTAGTAACAGCTTCTCTAGACTGCTATCCAAGCTGAGACTGTAGCCATCTCTTGGATGCAATTTGGTAGACAGGGCCTCCAACCAAAGGATCAGCCCCCAGTCTTGGAAGTGTGGAGTGCTGAGGGAGTCTGCTTTTAGGGCTAAGACCCTCCTGGGTTGCAGAGAGTCCGTGTCTGCAACCAGGCCACTGGTATTTCATAGGGAAGGGCCTGACCCCTCCTATGCAGGAGCAGAGCACCCAGGCAGCCAGGCTCTGCTCTGTGTCCCTCAGCAGCCCTGGGCAGGGCCTCTTCAACAGCCCTGAGGCTTTTCCTTCATACCAACTAGATAAACCCCATCTTTGGAGGGGTGGGGTAATGAGAGTTGATGCCCTACTATAGTGAGTTGGTTTGGATCATCTGATAAAAGCAGAATACAAGGGCTTGCCCTTGGTATCTAGGCAGTAGAAAAATTACAGGCTTGTGTTCTGGGAAGGAAAATCTCAACCGGAATCCCTAGCAATTGCACAAGACACCTTTCACCAGGAGCTGCCCCACATAGGTGGCAAAAGATCTCTGAATAACTTTTTAGCAGCTCTCCCCTAGCTACAGATCAAACAACCTCTGAAGCATACTCTCGTAGGCTTACTGATACCTATTGCTTATCTCACCCCATCTAAATAGGTAACAGGGCTCAAGGATCCCCTGGTAGTGGCACGACACTCTGCAAAGACTGAGATTCCTGTTTACTACATTTAGGGGTTTAGAGCTCATTACAAAGGTATTGTAATATCTTGATAACTGACCCCCACACACAAACCACAAGCAATAAAAAGAGAGAGTAGCCTCACAGCTCATCACAGTGCCTCCCACTTCATACTAGTAATTGTTAGGGGAGTCACGCACACAAGAGTGATACAACTCCTGGGAATCTAAGCAAGTGATCCAAACTCACTGATCACTATTAAAAGATGGTGAAGACAATAGGTCAAAGAAAATCCAACAGGCTCAAACTCCTCTAAGACATTACAGGACCAAGCACATATCCCCAGATCTGCAAAGGATCATCCCTCTGGAATCCCAGAATTTAGTCATAATCTAGTCCCTGCACCTCCAGTCCTTGATAAAGCACCCAGATGAGAAAGAACCAGCAAAAGATCACAGGAAACATGGAGCAGAGAGAAAGGTCACCTCCAAAAGAAAATACTCAATCTCCATCAACTGACACCAACTTACATATGATTAAACTAATGGAGGAAAAATCCCAAATATGGATTGTTAGAAAGCTCAATGGAATTGAAGAGAAAATGGAATTCCAACATAGAGAAACCACAAGAACAATTCAGGAAATGAATGAAAAATTCTCCAAAGAAATTGAAATTATTCAGAAAAACCAAACAGAAATTCTGGGAATGAAGAAAACAATCAAGGAATTCCATAATACAGTGAAAAGCATCAAGAACAAGATGGACCATGCAGAGGAAAGAATCTCAGAGCCTGAAGATTATGCCTATGCACTAAACAAATCAGAGGAAGAAAGGGAACACAGAAACAAGAGACATTACCAAAGTTCACAAGAAGTGTGTGATTATATTAAAAAGCCAAATCTCAGATTGATCGGGATTCCAGAAGAGAAATAGGAACATTCACAAAAGCTGGAAAACTTATTTCACGGAATACTGGAGGAAAATATGCTGGGCCTGGATAGAAATTTTGATATCCAAAGACAAGAAGCACACAGAACTCCTGGGAGACTCAACGTGAAAAGGCAATCACTTCATCACGTGGTTATTAGGCTGACCAAAGTAAACGTGAAAGAAACAATCCTCCATGCAGCGAGATGAAAGCAGCAAATAACCTATAAAGGAAAGCCTATCACACTAACAGCAGCAGACTTCTCATCTGAAACCTTACAAGCCAGGAGGGATTGGATGCCTATCCTTAATCTTCTAAAACAGAATAAAGCCCAACCTAGAATTCTTTATCTGGCAAAACTAAGTTTCATCTATGAGGGAGAAATAAAGTCCTTCTCAGACAAGCAATCACTGAAGAAATTTGCAAAGCAGCCCTACAGGAAGTTCTCAGATCAGCCTTCCACACTGAAGAAAGCAATAGACACTCCTCAAAGTAAAATCTTCAAAGAATTAAAGGCTAGAACTTGAACTGCATGATGGCTCAAGGAGCAAGTCAAAGCAACAGGACTTCACCCAACAATATAAATGGAAATCTTCCTCCAATTTCAATCCTCTCAATAAATGTAAATGGTTTAAACTGTCCTCTGAAGAGGCATAGACTGGCAAAGTGGATAAAAATTCATAGGCCTAGTTTCTGCTGTCTACAGGAAACACATCTAACCCACAAAGATGCCTTCTGGCTGAAGGTCAAGGGATGGAAAACTGTCATCCATGCAAACAGAAGTCAAAAGAAAGCAGGGGTAGCTATACTATTTTCAGATAACATAAGCTTTAAAATAGCAAAAGTAAAAAGGGATAAAGATGGCCACATAATAATGGTGAAAGGGAAGATCCAACAAGAAGATTTAACAATTCTTAATATTTATGCACCCAATGCAGGAGCACCCAATTACATAAAGCAAACCTTGTATGATCTAAATATCATGTTAAACAATACTGCCATAGTAGCAGGGGACTTCAACACTCCACTGAATGAACTAGATAGATCCTCCAAACAGAAAATAAGCAAAGAAATAATGGGCTCAAACAAAGCTCTTTATCAAAAAGGTCTAACAGATTTCTACAGAACATTCCACCCAAATAAAGTTGAATTTACATTCTTCTCAGCTGCCCATGGATCCTTCTCCAAAATTGATCACCATACTAGGATGCAAATCAGATCTCAAAAAATTCAAGAAAATAGAAATTATACCATGTGTCTTATCTGACCATAGTGGTATAAAACTAGAGTTCAATTCCTATAGAGACACTCAACACTTCACAAAGTCATGGGAACTAAACAAACTATTATTGAAGAATTATTGGGTCAAGGAGAAAATTCAAAGGGAAATGAAAAGTTTTTTCAAACAAAATGATAACAGAGACACACGTTAAAAAAACATGTGGGATACAGCAAAAGCATACCCGAGAGGAAAACTAATAGCAATAAATGCTCACATCCAAAAAACAGAAAGATCTAATACTGACAACCTAATGAATAGACTCAAGGAATTGGAAAAAGAAGAGCAAACCGATTCCGATCCTGGTAGAAGAAAAGAAATAACTAATATCAAAGCAGAACTAAATGAAATGGAGAACAAGAGAATTATACGGAAGATCAACAAAACCAGAAGCTGGTTTTTCGAAAACATAAATAAAAATGATAGCCCTCTTGCTAAACTGACAAGAACTCAAAGGGAAAGGACTCTAATAAACTTAATAAGAAATGAAAAAGAAGAGGTTACAACAGACACCACAGAAATACAAAACATTGTGTTTGACTACTATAAAAAACCATATGTCCAAAAACTAAATAACCAGGAAGAAATGGACATATTCCTGGATTCATACAACCTCCCTAAGTTCATCCAGGAGATAACAGAATTCCTGAATAGACCAATATCAAGCACAGAAATTAGAACAGCAAATAACAACCTCCCCAAACAGAAAAGTCCCGGACCGGATGGCTACACTTCAGAGTTTTACCAAACATAAAACAGTGAACTCATACCTATACTACAGAAATTATTTCACAACATTGAGAAGGATGGTATTCTTCCTAACTCATTCTACGAAGCCAATATCACCTTGATACCAAATCCAGGAAAAAACGCAACAAAAAAAAAGAAAATTACAGACCAATATCCCTCATGAATATAGATGCAAAAATCCTCAACAAAATTTTAGCAAACAGAATTCAGCAGCACATAAAAAAAATAATTCACCATGAGCAGGTGGGCTCTATTCCAAGGATGCAAGTCTGGTTCAACATACACACGTCTATAAATGCAATCTGCCTCATAAATAAAAACAAGAACAAAGACCATATGATTGTCTCAATAGATGCAGAAAAAGCATTTGACAAAGTCCAACACACTTTTATGATAAAAACTCTTAACAAAATAGGCATAGGTCGCTCATACCTTAAAATTATCAAGTCCATTTATGACAAACCCATGGCAAATATCATACTGAATGGTGAAAAACTGAAACCATTCCCACTTCTAACTGGAACTAGACAAGGATGCCCACTATCTCCTCTTCTATTCAACATAGTGCTCAAAGTCCTAGCTATGGCATTCAGGCTAGAGAGGGCATCCAAGTGGGTGCAGATGAGATCAAACTCTCACTCTTTGCCAATGATATGATATTATACCTAGAAAACCCCATGGATTTGTCCAAGAGACTCCTAGACTTGATAAAATGAAATCAGTAAAGTCTCAGGTTATAAAATCAATATACACAAATCAGAGGCATTCATATATGCCAAGAACTGCCAAGTCAAAACTCAAATAAAAAATGCAATACCTTTTACTGTAGCCCCAAAGAAAATTAAATATCTAAGAATATATTTAACAAAAAACTTACACAAAGGGAGCTACATAACATTAAAAAAAGAAATTGTAAAAGCTGTAAACAGATGTGAAAATCTACCTTGTTCATGAATTGGTAGAATCAATATCGTTAAAATGCCAATATTACCTAAAGTCACCTACAGAATTAATGCAATCCCCATCAAATTACCACCATCATTCTTTACAGATGTAAAAAATATAATTCTTCACTTTGTATGGAACCAGAAAAAATGTCGTATAGCCGAAGCAATCTTAAGCAAAAAGAACACACTGGGAGGCATCAGTCTTCTTGACTTCAAGCTGTACTATAAAGCAATAATAGTTAAATTAGCCTAGTACTGGCACAAGAACAGAAGCATTGATATTTGGAATAGGACTGAGATTCCAGAGATGAAACCATCTGTATACAATAACCTAATCTTTGATAAAGCAGATAAAAATATACAATGGGGAAAAGAATCTCTCTTCAATAAATGGTGCTGGGAAAACTGGATAGCTACATGCAGAAGAATTCATCAGGATCCCTACCTCTCACCTCTCACAAAAATCCACTCAAGATGGATAACAGATTTAAACCTAAGGCATGAAACCTTAAGAATCCTAGAAGATGAGGTGGGGAAAACCCTCTCAGACATTGCTCTAGACAAATAATTTTTGAAGAAGACTCCCAAAGCAATCACCACAGCAACGAAAATAGACAAATGGGACTTGAAATTAAAAAGCTTCCGCACAGCCAAGGACACTATCATTAGAGCAAATAGACAACCTACAGAGTGGGAGAAAATATTTGCTCTCTACACTTCCAATAAAGGTCTGATAACAAGAATCTATCTAGAGCGCAAAAGAATTAACAAAAAAAATCAAACAACCACATCAAGAAGTGGGCAATGGAAATGAACAGAAACTTTTCTAAAGACGACAGAATAATGGCCAGCAAACATATAAAAAAAATGCTCAACATCACTAATCATTAGAGAAATGCAAATCAAAACCACAATGAGATATCATCTAACCCCAGTGAGATTGGCCTGTATAAAGAAATCCCAAAACAACAAATGCTGGCAAGGATGTGGAGAGACAGGAACACTCTTACACTGCTGGTGGGACTGCAAATTAGTGCAACCTTTGTAGAAAAGAATTTGGAGACATCTCAAAGAGCTAAAAGTAGAAATACCAGAAATACCATTCAACCCAGCAATAGCATTATTAGGCATTTACCCAAAAGAGCATAAGACATTCTATTATAAAGACATCTGCACCCGAATGTTTATGGTAGCACAATTCACTATTGCAAGGACATGGAAACAACCCAAATGTCTGTCAATTAATGAGTGGATTATTATAATTTGGTATATGCTTACAATGGAATATTACTCAATTCTAAGAAACGACAGTTAGCACCGCTTATATTATCCTGCATTGAGCTTAAGCCCATTATCCAGAGTGAGATGACACAAGATCAGAGTAATGGGCTCCACATGTACTCACCATCCAATTGGTACTGACTGATTAACACTATGGTGCTCAAAGTGGGTGGTGTTCACCAAGGATTCAGAAGTTGGGGGGGGTAGTACCATATCTGAGGGATGTAGTGAACATTGTGGAGGGGAAAGGGCATACCTCTAACTCTTGCTAGGGAGAGGTAAAGATATAAAATGTAACTAAAAGGTTAAAAAAAAACATTTATCGGGTGTCTGGCAGGTGGGAGGTGGAAGGGGGGAGGAGGAGATGGGTATTTACATACATAGTGAGTGTGATGCACACCGTCTGGGGGATGGACACACCTGAAGCTCTGACTCAAGGGGGGAGGGCAAGAGCAATGTATGTAACCTTAATGTTTGTACCCCCCTTATATGCTGAAATAAAATAAAAAAGAATTTCGTATTTCTACTGCTGTATTCTCATCCTCCAAAATGTTTATTTAATTCATTTTGTTGTTTCTCTTTATTTCCAGTACATTCTATGGTACCTGATGCATATTTGGTAAGTACTCAATATTTTACAGAATAATCTTAAAGATTTATGAAAAGGAGGTTGAGAGTCTAAGATTCATAAAAGTACAGTGATAATCATAATTTTCTTTTCAATGTTGTTGAAACTTATCTATACACGCTACTTCATTAAGTAAGGAAAAATGAATCGGATCAGACATTGTAACTCAGACTTCACAAAATTCACTTTCAGGTCAGAAAACTAGGGTCATTAGGGGGACAGGTAGTCAGAGTGGCCCCCTAACTCTGACTTTTTGCCCTATTGAACATGCTATTTTGTACACTTAGAAAATATGAAATTTCAGTGGATAGAAGTTGAAGTTGTTCTGAAATCAGGATTCTGTTTTGAAAGTATTCAACAAATATCGTGCTTGTTGGGCACAGTGCTAGGTACTTGTATGTAACTCTCACATAGACACTATTCTAATTGTTCAGTGAGTGACAAGTCTTTTAGCCTTCAGAAAGTAAACAAACTATTGCAATATAGTGTGTGGCACAGATTAGAGCCCTTGTCCTCTCTCTTGCACTCATTCATTTTGTCCCAATACCAGTCTTGACCCAGAACTCAACACCTCCCCAAGTTCCCCCATACCATGCTTCAGTAACTGGGAAGTCAAAGTTCAATCAGAAGATAGTGATTTAATATGAGTTTTGACTGTGTACTACATCTTGTTTAAAATACTTTGATCTTGGACTCTCAAAAGGTTAATCAGCTCTAAATTTACTCTTTGTTCTCTAGCTTCTACTCTGCAAGTGAAGTTATCTTTTTGCTCTGCACCAACCAGATTAAAAATACAGACAATTTTTGGATTCTGCCAAATGAATCCACTTAAACAAAAGCTTTTCATGCAATCTAGACTTCAATGAGGATTTGGTAAAGGACAGAGAGAAGAGGCTTTACGTTTTGTACCCCAAAATAAGCCAAAGCATGTAATTTTATTTCTGTTCTCCAAGCCCATATTATTAATATAACAACATGAACATGGTGGGGAGGAGCCTCTCTCTTCCCCCCCCACACACACCTCTTTCTATCACCTTTTCTTTCCCTTTCCTCATGCAGTACCTAGCCTTGTTGGATCCTCTCTTCCTTGTTATGCAGAGCAGTTCAGTCCTGAAGGAGTTTCTACTTCCAAATTTCACACTTGGTGCTCAGCAAAACAAAAGCCACCCACCCCATCTCCCTGCCCAGTTAATAGGACCAACTTTCTTTAAGGGCATTTTACAAACTATGTTTCACAACATGAGCATATTCTCGTGGTCCTATCAGCTACCCCAAGTATTCCCCCAATAGACATGCTGGTAGAGTAATTGTTCTGTTTCTCATTGTAATTGTGATGTGTCATAACTGAGAAAACGCAGAGTGCATCAGACTTCCATTTCAGGCTCCTAAAAGGAGGAAGCAACAATCCCAGCTAGAACTTGGACAGGAGTAGCCAAAAGGTGGGCAAAGGGGTTGGGAGTATGGGTTGTTGGTGAGGGGAGGGAAAGAAGAGAATTGTTCACAAAAGAGAAACAAAATCTTGGTGGCAAATTACAGATTAAAAATAAAACTGAGTATAGAGAGATTCACTTCTCACACAATTCCTCTCTTGTACCATCTCTCCTAGAACACTCATCATGTCTTCAAATATGATGCTTCAGAAAATGGTGCTGTTGATGATATCTTTTTTAGTAGTTACCTGGATAATTATTTCTCAAAACTCCACAAAGGTAGGAACAATTTTCTCCAGTGTGATCTGAAGCCTCCCACCCCCGTGTGACCTGCATCAAGCCAGGCCCAGTCCATCAGCAATCAGCCCCTTCTCCCCACCTCCAACCCTGCTGTCTTCTTCCTTCTCTTTCCAGCTTCTCAGAGGGACAGTGGACACCAGCGACCTCCTCTTCCTTATTTCACACTCATCCTGCATCCACTCCCATCAGAATTCCACCTCCCAATACTCCCAAAACAGCCCTTGTTAAAGCTACCAACTTCCTTGTCACTAAATCCAGGTGCATATGTTACCTGGCCATGTAAACCCAGTTTGTCATTTGGTCTTTTGGTCTATGATTTCTTTTTCCATGCAAAAGTTATTTTTTTTTTAGTAATCTACTTTCTCTTATTGTTTATGGATGTCAAGTCATTGTTAGAAAAGTTTTTCCCACTCTAAAGTTACATAGGAATTCACCCACATTTTTTACTAGTATAGTTCCATTGTCTATAAATATCTGATCCACTTGGAATTTGTGCTGTTGAACAGCCTGACAATCTAATTTCGCTTTTTCCATATAGCTGTCCAGTTATCCTAATCCTCTTATTAAAAATTCCATCCAATATCCACACTGATTTTGGCTGCTGCCTCTATAGCATACTAAATTTGTATGTATAATAAGGTCTGTTTCTGATTTTCAATTCTGTTCCACTGTCTTTTTATTCATGTGCCAATACCACACTATTTTAATTATAGATTTTATAAGGAAGTTTTAATATCTAGTAGAGCTAATCCTACCCATACCCAGGACCCTGTTTTTTTATCCTCCAAACATTTTCTAACTATTCATTCTCATTTATCCTTTCAAGTGAACTTTCTAATTGACCTGTCTGGTCCAGAAAATATTGGGGATATTTTTTATTGTGATTTCATCAAATGTATAAATTAACCTTGGAAGACTAAATAGCTTCTTTATGATGTTAAGGGTTTTTTAATCCAAGAACATGGTTTCTGTTCCATTTGTTCAATTTTGTTTTCTTCAGTAGTGTTTTGTGACTTTTTCTCATATAATTCTTGGACACTCATGTTCAATTTATTCAGTATTTTATTATCATTTTGCTACTATATATCAGATTTCGCTACTATATATCAGCTACTATATATCAGCTACTATATTATCAGATCCATTTATTCTCTCTGGTTTTTGTCTGTATACACAAATGTTATTGATTTTTATACATTAATTTTATTACCTACTATCTTACTAAATTCTTTTATTGTTTATAGTCATTTTTACACTGATATTTTAGGTTTTTCCAGATAAATAACCATTGCATCTGAAAATAAAGATTGTTTTAACTTTCCATTCAAGTCCAGTGTCTCTAACTTGCTTTCTCTCATCTAAAGTATATATTAATATTTTATGTGAAGAGAAGATCCATACATTTTTTTGTTGAGTGTTTTTAACATGAATATGTACGAATATTGTCAAAGTCCTTTTGTGCATACAGAGAGATAATCATACAATTTTTCTCATTAGCTGTACTAATATGATAAATTATATTAAAAACTGAACCAAATTTGTATTCCTGGTAAAAAACTCTCTGGGTCATGAAATATTATTTTTTCCAATGTTCATTTGGATTGTGTTTGCTAATATTTTAAGATTCTGCCTCAATATTCATAGTTTCTATAGTTTTCTCTGGTATAATCTTTATCAGGTTTTGGAAAATACATTACATTTGCTTCATAAAATCAATTTGGAAGTTTTTTGTTTATTTTATTTTTGTAGTACATTGAAGTTGCTTAAGGGTGTTCTCAAACCTAGCTGATCACAGGGTTGCCTGTGAGGCTTTTGGAAAATATACTCCTGGACAATACAGTTAGTGATTATGACTCAGGTGATCTGGATCACGGCCTGAGAATCCATGTTTCTAGAAAAGCTTGGCAGGTGCTTCTGACCATCAACAAGGTTTGGAAATCCCCAAATTTGAATTCCTATAAGACACTGGGTAGTGCTAAAACTATATGCGACTTCTAAGGTTGTAGCAATTTCTAAAATAGAAGTTTAGAATGTCGAGGTGGTTTGGGGTGAAATGTGGAGATGGCTAGCAGTCCAAAAAGAAAAGAAAACATTAGGAAAGAGCAAGAGCTGAAAGAAAGGAAGGTCAGCTCCTAAAAGTAAAATAGTCTTATCAGAACACTGAGTGCAAGGGAGAGAGTGGCAAGAACTGGATAGTTAAAAATAGGCCACAGTGTAAAGCCATGTTAGGAACAGACTTCACCCCAAGAGTTATAAGAAGCCATGGAAGGGGTGTAAGCAGGGACACAAATATGGTTTTGCTTTAGAAGGACTGATTTAGCTACACAGGATGAAAGTAAATGGGGAGAAAGCAGAACTGTCTTCATGAAGTCTGAGGATAGCCTTCATCCTTGAGGTGACTGCTACATCCAGGACATACATGATGGTGGCTTGGACTATTAGACAGTTGGGGAGGAAAAGACTATTACACAGAGGAAAAAGATTTACAGGGCAGAAGTAACAGAAATTAGTTATTGGATGTCAGGTGTATATGCAAAGGAAGAGTAAATGCAACGGTACCAATTTGTTACTCATCACAAGTATTCTCTGAGCTATATATTTTAGATATAACATATTTATCTACAACTCTTCAGGTATTTTCTGAAATATTCAGGTAAAAACATAAATGTTTACATTTTATTCAAAATTATCAGAGAGTTTAAATAATATTGATAATAATATATAAATAAATATTCAAACTCAAAATAAGTAAAACTTACCAGGAAGAGGTTCATTTCATAGTATGTCACATTTCTTGTCATTTCAGTTTTGGTCTACTCTAAATTTATCCATCTCCCTCTATCACTGGAACACCTCCACGAAGTCTCCTCCATTCCCCAAAACACCAGTGAGCCCGTTAAAGCCACCAACAGACACTGAGCTGAGAATAAAGGCGATCGTGGAGAAACTAGACCAGCAGATCCCACCCAGACCTTTCGCCCACGTGAACACCACCACCAGTGCTGCACACAGCACAGCCACCGTCCTCAACCCTCGACACACCTACTGCAAGGGGGACCAGCTGGATGTCCTGCTGGAGGCCAAGGACTACTTGGGACGCAAGAAGCAATATGGCGGAGATTTCTTGAGGGCCAGGATGTCCTCCCCATCCCTGGAAGCAGGTGCTGCAGGAAAGGTGACCGACTTCAACAACGGCACCTACCTTGTCAGCTTCACTCTCTTCTGGGAGGGCCCAGTCTTCCTGTCTCTCCTGCTCATCCACCCCAGCGAAGGGGTGTCGGCTCTCTGGAGGGCAAGGAACCAAGGCTATGATAAAGTTGTTTTCAAAGGTAAATTTGTTAATGGGACCTCCCATGTCTTCACTGAATGTGGCCTGACCCTCAATTCAAGTGCTGAACTCTGTAAATACCTGGACGATAGAGACGAAGAAGCCTTCTACTGTGTGAAGCCTCAACACTTGCCCTGTGAGGCCCTGACCCACATGACCACCAGGAATCAAAAAATTTCTTATCTTACTATGCAGGAAAAAGGCCTTTTCCACAGGTAAGTATATTTTCAATACACTGAGAGGTGCTCCTAAGTCAAGCTACACTACCTATCTCAATACTGACAGTGACCCTCTCAGGTGCCTCCTCTACTCAGATATGTGGTGTCTTCATGGGGCCTTCTGTTCATGACTCTATGCCAAGGTTTGCATTTTCACTGAAATGTTCAATAGAAGAGGGCTGCACACGGTGGAACTCTGTAATACACATGCCTGTTCTTTTCCCAGGTGACTGGTACTGTCAGACTCAGTCATGTCTTCTACTATAGACCTACAGGTTTTTATAAAATATGTTCTGTGGAAAACTATTCTGCTACGTGCTCATAGATGTTTCACTGAGAAAAGATTCCTTCATAAGTGTATGATAACATCCATGCTCCTTCACCTGCTGTATCATAGTCTGTTGATTCTCCCTCTTAAATATCCTTTGCATGCATCCGTTTCTCTCCATGCCCAGTGCCACTGTCCAAGTTCAGACCACCAGCCTCTCATCTGGATAACCTATAACAGCTTCCCAACTGGTCTCCCTCCCAGCAGTCACCTCCCCTCTAATCTATTCTCCACACTGCAGTCTGAGTAAATCTTTCTAAAAAGCCAACGCCCACTGGTCATTGCCAATTGAGTTCAAAATCAGATATTTCTCAGAGTGGAGGAATCCTTCTGCTCCCCAAGTTGTAACCTAGTGATTCCTGGAAGCCCCTGGTTGAACAGGCCTCCACAAACCAGGGTGTAAGCATGTTTCTTCTATCAATTACGGCTGCATAACACCATGTCTTTCTCCCCCACTCACAAACAGATGTTCATTTCCTGGTTTCTCTGTCCTCCACCGAGCTTGAAAACACTTCATTGATTAGAATGAACCATCAGGGTCTCTTCAGAGGCCACTCTGAGGATTTGCAAAGGGTAACTATCTGCCATCACAAATCCCACAACTGTACGCTAAGCCCTAAGGCACCTATCAGTTTCAGAGTCTTCTGTTCATTTGGTAACTTTCCATAAGCCTTGGGGGCTCAGTCTATTTCCTTCTTCCTTTCCATTCTGTCAATATCCATATTATTCTCCCTGCAGTTTTATTTTCCCTAAGCTTGATGACAGAGTAGAATGCTAGGTCCTCAGCAATCCCTTTCTTAACAGTTTTCAAAGTCAAGCTTAGAGTTTTTTTTTAAGCTTTCAAAAAAAATATGCTAAGAGGACATAAGAGTGGAAAATCTTACCTTGTTATCCAAGTTTGGGCTCTTAATCTATAATCTGTGAGTCCTTTCTGAGTAATTAAAAGCACAGTTGGGTTTCTGTTCCTTTCCTCTTACCTCTGATGGTACAGCTTACCAAATCTCTTCCTACCCACCAACCATACTTAGCCTAAATCCCAGTAAAGATGAAAACATGCCAATTCTTTCCCTTCTCGCAATTGGAGCTGAAGAAACTTCCATAGTAGAGAATTAGGTACCACTTATACCTGTTGTGCCTGGCACCTGGGTCCCCATTCTCCATGTAACCCCTTTCTGCCTTCCTCCACTTACATACACATGCACATCGGTTTGAGACAAAGAATGAATCAGAGGGAGGGTCATAGTTTTCAAGCAGGAAGAGGCAGGTGGTCTTTCATCAATTGGAGGAAAGAAATGCAGTATACATTTATTCATACATCAGACTGAACACTACTTTCTGCCAGCCACTTTGGTAGATATTAAGAATACAGCAGTGGGCCAGGCAGATGCATATTTCCTTCCTTCACAAAGTGTACAATCTTCAGAAAGCAAGTTTGTGGGAAAAACTGAAGGCAACCACAGCAGGAAATGTGGATAAAGAGGGAAGCAGAGGCCCTATGACAAGAAGTCTAAATGCCACATTAAGGAGCCTGGACTCCTTAGATAAGTGACAGGGAAATGGTTAAAGATTTTAAACAGTATTGCACTTGCAGTTGAAATTAGAAAGGACACTCTGGCAGTTGTGTTGAAGAATTCAAGTGGGATGAAACTGAGACAGGCTGGCCAATTAGAGACTCACAGTACTCCAAGAAAATATTCTACAAACTTCAATAGGTGATGTGGAAGCAGAGAGAAGACAACTTGCAAATTATAAAACATTTTTAATCTAAAATTTCAGGACACATTGACTGCATGTGGCAGATGAGGAGAACTGCTGATTTCAGGTGCTCTCAGCAGGACAGAAAGCCTTCGAAAATCTTAATTCACTTAAAATGCTCAATATATATCTAAAATTTGCAAAAATAATAACTTTCAGTTATATAAAACTTAAAATTATCCTTTACTCATAAACAGGTAATTCATGTTACCTGTGTTATGTGTACAGACAATAGCTAATTTATTGTCCTATTTTTTGAAGGTCCAAAGTGGGAGTTGAAATGATGACAGACATAAAACACATTGATGTCTCCCGATGTAACAGTAAGTCTTCTCTGTCCCGTGGTAGGTGCTGCTTGGTACGTGTCTTATGCAGAGGAAATCTTATCAGCATTAACCCTAGCGACTGTGGTTTTCCTGGAATGCAAACCCTAGCAGGTGTCTATGGTGCCAATCATGTTGGACTTTAAAGAGAGAAATTCACTTAAGGAAACTGTTTCAAACTCTCTTTATAACAGATTTCATCTTGATTTATCCAAGAGGAGAAATATGTACGAATATCCTACATTAATATTTAAACTTGGGAGTTCATCTCCCTAGGGTCTGAGGCACTGTGCGAATGTCTTTGATGGATACCCATAGCTTCAGAGTGGGAACATTTTGGTTTTTGCCAATTCTCTGTTGGTATAACCTCCCAACTTTTATTTGATGCACTTACCAATTTTACGTGGTTTCCATCTTATTAAATGTTTTATTGACAACCCCAAAGCTACGTTACTTATGAAATAGTTTTTATACTACCTTAGCTTTAAAATACCTTCCTATAAAGTCTATCTTAGTTTACCAATAGCATGCATTATGAGATCTACTCCACTTTATAATGATTTATTGCCACTATTTAGTCATTTATTCATCAAACATTTGCTGAGGGTCTAATAGATGTGAGGCATTATAGGCAAATGGAGAAAAATAAATGCTCAGTAAGCTCACAGTCTGAAAGACATTCAACCTACCAACTCCATGAAGACAGTAAAAAGGCAAAGGGCTTATGTTAAAGTTGGTATTTGACCTTGTCCTGAAGGATATCTGTAGTAAGAGAATGAGAAAGGGAAATCCCATAAAGATCATGGGTAGTGTTATCAGACTTAAGGAAATAATAATGCAGAGAATCAGTTAAATTTGAGTAACTTCTAATTGCCTTTGTTTGTTGTATACAATGAGATAAGGGCAAATATTGTAGGAAACATACTTATACTAAAAAATCATTCCTTATTAGAAGTAATTCAAGTTTAATATGGTGTCCTATATTTTTTTTTTTACCTGATAACTCTTTTTATCTGATAATTCTAGTCATGAGCAAAATTATCATGGACTTATTCAGAAGGCCAATCGGGTAAGCATATGGTGGAATGGAGCGAAGGATAAGTCTAGAAAGAGGAAGACACTAGATCATGGAGGTCCTCAAGTGCCACGCTGAGGATTTCCATGTTTAGTCAGGAAGCTTTTGAAAGCCACAGAAACCAATGGAGGAATAGAATGATAAGATCCACTTTGTGCTTTAACAAGCTAAATCACAATTTAACAAAATGCATGATCTATAGAAAGGCAACTTAAAATGTTACTAAGAGATACAAGATAAAATGTATATAAATAGAAGAAAAAACACTTTCTGGATGGGATGACTTCATATGAGAAAGAATGTCAGTCGTCTCAATCATTTTCTTATTGCTGCTTTAATAAAGTAGCTTAAAACAACAAAATTGCATAATCTGATAGTTCTGTAGTTCAAAAGTCCAATATCTGGTTCAAAGAGCTAAAACATTTTAAGAGGCTCTAGGGGAGAACCAGTTCCTTTGCCTTTCCCAGCTTCTCTAGGCTTCCAGCATCCCTTATGGCCCTCACCCTCCATCTTCACAACCACAACAGTAGGCCAATTCTCATATCACGTCTTTGACCCACTCTTATGGCTCCCTCTTCCACTTTTGAGAACTACTGAGATTAGATTGGGCCCACCCAGATAATCCATGATAGACTGCCCTATCTCAAAGTCTGTACCCTTAATTACATCTGGAGAGTCCCTCTTGCCAAGGAAGGCAACATATTCACAGGTTTGAGGAATTAGGATGTGGCTATCTTTGAGGGTCCATTAGTCTGCCGACCACAATCTCCAAACTAATCAAAAATTAATGGAATCCTAATATTATTGCCCACATAATGTTCAAATACTCAAGCCTATTCTAAAATTATTAAGTAAAACAAGTATGTAAGGGTAATCATAAGAGAATTTGTTGTATGTTGGAAATAGTCCTTCAAAGAACTAAGTTTGAAACCTGGCAAAATGCATATCAGGGCACATTAAAGATTGTACAAGATGTGGTTTACAATAATAAGCTCAAGGGCCTATCTTCTCACCAAGGTATGCCAGTACATTATTAGGAGGTAGAATATTTTATTTTATTTTTTAAATCAGGATATCACACGGGTACAAACATTTTGGTTACGTGCAATGTGTTTGTTTTGCCCTAGTCAGGGCTTTAAGCATGTCCTTCCCCCATACAGTGTGCTCCGTTTCCATTAGTTGTAGGTAGAATATTTAATAACCATGGATCTCAAGTTTCCAGAGTCATGGTATTTAACAATCCAGGATATAATGCTGTCAAGCCTCACAGAAGCTCAACCATGTCTCACTGAAATTACAACATCATTATAAGACTATGAAAACTCCCTTTAGTAGGCTTAATCACCAGGATTTAAGAGCTATTCCAGGTGCATTTTCCAATTCTGCCACCAGCACCATTTTGCTACTTTGTCCACAAGTTACAAATACAGTACAACCATGCAATGATGCACAATCCTGTGGACACAGGCAACCAGAGGCTGTAAAGGCCTTTAAGGAACTACACAAGTAGGGTAAAGCAGAGACTGCTGGTGATCCCCCAATATCCATTCCCTCCTCCCTCTTTAGTAATAGAAACCCTTATTTTAGCTGGACTTCTGGCCACCTTTCCTTGAAGCTAGTTGTAGCCATGACTAAATTTTTTCTAGGAGTGTGAATAGAAGGGATATGGAAACTTCTAGGTCATGCCTTTAAAACCAACACAACTGGCCCTTCCCTTTCATCCTCCTCTTCCTACTAGCTGAATGATAGATATAATGTGAGACTGAAGCTACATGTTAAGAATCACAGAGCAGGCCAGGCACATGGCTCATGCCTGTAATCCCAGCACTTTGGGAGGCCAAGATGGGATGATCGCTTAAGGTCAGGAGTTTGAGATCAGACTTGCAACACAGCAAAACCCTTTCTCTACAAAAAATACAAAAATTAGCCGAGCATGGTGGTGCACACCTGTAGTCCCAGCTACTTGGGAGGCTAAGGTAGGAGGATAGCTTCAACCCAAGAGTTGGAGGCTGCAGTGAGCTATGATTATACCACTGCACTCTAGCCTGGGCAACAAAGGGAGACCCTGTCTCTATAAGTAATAATAACAATAAAAAGAATGGCAGAAAAATAAGATAGGAGGATGAAGAGTCCCTGGCACCAGGCAATATCATATTAGCTCTGGCCTGTTCACTCTAGGTCTATTATACAAAGAAGAAATACATTTCTATTGTTAATTCATTATTATTTTGGCCTTTTGTATAGCATACAAACTTGTTTCCTATCTAATACAGAATGTGGTATCAGTACAGAAGTGCTGACGTGACAGAACCTAAACAGGAAGCATTGGCTTAGTTGATGGCGTAGCGCACAGAAAGTGGCAAGGAAACAGGACGGGGAAAATCTGATGATCTTTGCAATGGCACAGTAAAACATTTGGGGCACAGCTACTGTGATACCTGGGAAGGCAGCTTATGTACCAACAGAGCCTTAATGCTAGTGGAACTTGCTGGAACATCTCAGAAAATTGGTCTGTATTAGACGCTGCATATTACTTTTAGCAAAGTCCTATTTAAAAAATGAAAACATTAAGTCAAACTAGATATTTTATACTGTTTGAAGGTTTTTAAATGTGTACACATTATATTTTAGTCAATTTTTAAACCCAGAAAAATTAAGATTTTTCCTTCATTCATGGAACAAAGGTAAGTGATTTGATATAAGGACACCAACTAGCAGATCACTAATATCATTCAGGTTAGAATGATAGCACCCAAGTCAGCACAGAATCAGTAGGGATGGCAAAGAAAGGACAGAACATCAAGACTTAGCTAATGACCCAAAGTGGGATAAAATGAATAGCAAGGAGGCAAGATGACTCAAAATCTCTCAAAGGAATGAGTAGAAGTACCTAAAACAAAGCTGATGATCACAGAAAAGTACTAGGAAAGGATAAAAATGTTAATAGGAATTGGGATTTAGAGGAAGGGAGAAAGTGATCAAGAAAGGGCAAGACCAAGAAAGAAGGCTAGATATTTAACTTGTGCCAATAAAACCACTTACCACAAGTATCTCTGTTACCAGAGAGTGAAAAGATGACAGCGAAATGCCAAGTTGGAATAAAGACTCCTGTCCCTGGTGGCTATACTTTACAAGGAAGATGGATAACAACATTTTGCAACCAGATTCAGTTAAACACAACTAAGATAAATGACTGTTTAAAAGGAAAACTCATTTACCTCCTGGGAGACTCTACACTGCGTCAGTGGATCTACTACTTACCCAAAGTTGTAAAAAGTATCTAGTTATTTTATATTATTTTAGAAATTCAGGCTGATACTTTTAATGAGGTTTCTATTCTCTCCTTTGAGCTGTTTTTGACTTCACTTACCTTTCTGAATTTGAGCCTTTTAATTTAAAATATATTTTATTCCCTGTTTCATAAGAAATGTTGTTCCTCTTTAAAAATTCCAATGAGAATTTTACATTTTTGATTGACATTTGACATATCAACTGGTAATCTACTCTAAAAGGTAGGCATGCTCCAGTTGGAAATAATCTAGGTGGATAACTAAGTGGGTATTTTAAATGATAGGATATTCTTTTTTTAAATATTAATAATCATTATCTTCTAGTTAAAAGATCTATTTATTTTTTACCAGCACTAAAATTGTTTGATCTTCATGAAACCGGAGTGTTTAAGAAACATGTGCTTCTGGATGCAGAAAGACACACTCAGATTCAATGGAAAAAACACAGCTACCCTTTTGTTACTCTTCAGCTCTACTCTGTGATAGATGATGATTATATCCCTCGGGAAATTGACCGGCTACCAGGTGACAAAAACACAGCCATTGTGATCTCCTTTGGCCAGCACTTCAGACCCTTCCCCATTGACGTCTTCCTTCGCAGGGCCCTCGGTGTCCGAAAGGCTATTGAACGATTATTCCTAAGAAGCCCGACTACGAAAGTGATCATTAAGACAGAAAACATCAGGGAGATGCACTTAGACACAGAGAGGTTTGGAGACTTCCATGGTTACATTCAATATCTCACCATGAAGGATATTTTCAAAGATCTCAATGTGGGTGTCATTGATGCTTGGGACATGACTATTGCATATGGGACCAATACTGTCCACCCACCTGATCATGTGATTGGAAGTCAAATTAATATGTTCTTAAACTACATTTGCTAAATCATGAATACTATACAAAATCACTAGGAATGGATCTCTGCAAATAATCCCACATGCATTTTCAAGTAAGTTTTATTCATTTTTAGAAACTAAGAGAATCAAATTTAAAAGTGTCTGTGTTAGCAGGAAGGACACTTAAGGACAATGACAACTACTATGGGATGTAAAGCCAAGAGAATCAAACATGAGGAATGATCATACCATGTCTGGAAGTTGTGTATGTACGATAATGAATATTTTTATTTTTTAGGCAAGTTTGGGTCACAATTTTTGTTGCTTGTGGCAGAAAGCATCCTACCTGATACTTTAGTAGGGTAAAAGAAAGTAAATATATCATCATTGTGTTCTAAAACAGGGGTCACCTAACTTTTTCTGTGAAGGGCTAGACAGTAAATATTTTAGGCTTTGCAGGCCATACAGTCTGTTGCAAGTGCTCAATTCTGCCATTATAGTACAAAAGTAGCCTCAGACAACATGTAAACAAATGAGTATGGTTATGTTTCAATACAATTTATTTAGGAAATAAACTGATATTTGAATTTCATAAGTTTTATATGTCAGGAGATATTCTTCTTTTGATTTTCCTCCAACTTTTTAAAAATGCAAAGTCCACTTTTAGATCACAGGCCCTAAACATGATAGACTATATTTGGCCTCTAGGCCATAGTTTTCCTGTGTCTGGTTTAAAACAAAAAATTTTGTAGGGACTGGGCACAGTGGCTCACACCTATAATCTTAGCACTTTGGGAGGCTGAGGCAGGAGGATCACTTGAGCCCTGGAGTTTAAGACCAGCTTAAGCAAGAGTGAGACCCCATCTCTATAAAAAATAGAAAAATTAGCCAGGTGTGGTGGTATATACCTATAGTCCCAGCTACACAGAAGGCTAAGGCAGGAGGATTGCTTGAGACTGGAAGTTTGAGGTTGCAGTGAGCTATGATGATGCCACTCCACTCTAGTCAGGGTCACAGGGAGAGATCCTGTCTCCAAAAAAATAAAAAAGAAAAAGAAAAAGAAAAAAATTCATTGGAGGTTGAAGGGAAAACTAGGAACAAACTGGAAATGGAAGAAAACTCCCATAACTTGAGAAAATTTTTAGCCAGAAAACTAAAATAAACATCACTTACTGAATGCAACATAACAGATATTTCCAAATAACGTCAGAAGCCAAACTTGAATTCCTACTATTGCTTCTATTCAGCAAGGAACTGGCAATACATGTCAGAATGAAACAGAAGAAACTGTTGCTGGTTATTTGATCATTCTCTTAGAAAAAATCTAAGAAGCTAGACTTAAATTTAGAAGGTGGCCTAACATAAGCTCGACATACAAAAATTAATAAAGCTTTCCTCACAATAGAAATAATTAGACAATACAATTAAAATGGCATGGTATCTCTACATCTAGATCATGCATATCTTTCATTATATTTAATCCTAGAAATTTGCTAGTTTTTGATCTATTGTAAATGTATTTCTTAAATATTTACTATTATATTTCTCTATACATACAATATGCTTAGAAATGTGCACAAAACTTTAAAATATAGCTCAGTGAACTATGAAAAGCAAATACCCAAGTAACCCAATGGTTAGGACAAATTTTATAACAAAAGATATATAAGATTTCTAAAGACACACTCACACAAAATCTGGTCAGATTTTGGTTGGAATTGTGCTAAGTCTGTAGGACTATTTAATCTTTTTATTTGTGGAGTGTGGAGTGAGTGTGTGTGTGTGTGTGTGTGTGTGTGTGTGTGTGTGTGTGTATTTTGGCAATATGATTCTAATATTTCTAAGAAAAGGCAAAGGGCCAAAATAATCAAGACACTGAAAATGAAGAAGTTTGAAGGATATACTTTTTCAAAAATCAAGACTTATTTTAAAGCTATAGAATTATGACAACGTGCCACTGATGCAAAGAGAAACCCAAGACCAATGAAACAGAATGAAGAGAACAGAAAAAGGTCCTGCACATATGGACAGTTGCTTCAAGGCAAAGCAAGCATTGCAGACAGTGTGAAAAAGACAGTCTTTCCAATAGATAATCTGAAAAAATAGGACATCCATGTGGAAAAATTAAAATTGGATCCCTACATTATACTATTCACAAAAAAAAAAAAAAATAAAGTTCAGGGAGATCATAGACCTAAATGTGAAAAAGAAAAGCAAAGCAATGTAACTTCTTTTTTTTTTTTGAGACAGAGTCTTGCTTTGTCACCTGGGCTGGATGGAGTGCTGTGGCGTCAGCCTAGCTCACAGCAACCTCAAAACTCTTGGGCTCAAGGGATCCTCCTGCCTCAGCCTCCTCAGTAGCTGGGATTACAGGCACACACCATCAAGCCTGGCATATTTTTCTATTTTTAGTGGAGATGGGGTCTTGCTCTTACTCAGGCTGGTCTCAAACTACTGAGCTCAAGTGATCCTCCTGCCTTGGCCTCCCAGTATGCTAGGATTACAGGTGTGAGCCACCGCGCTTCATAAAGCTTCATAAAGAGTGCATCTTACACTATCTGCAGTAAAGAGTCAATTTCTTTTTAATATTTAACACACGGCCACACTAGAAAAAAAAATTTTTTCCTTGGAGCCACAGTGTCTTATAATAAAAATAGAATTAAAACTTCAAAAACAAAATGATCCTTTCCAATTTAATGAAAAATTTGTTATTTTTTATTGTTTTCTGCACATGAGATATAGGCAAAAATAGTTCTCACAGCTCCAGGGTGAAGAAACATGTGTTACATATGTTTGACAAGGCCTCAGGCTCAAAACTAGCATGAGTTAAATACAACTCACATGGAAGTTTAATGTACTAAACTTTCAAAGATCCATGCATGGATACTGCATACGACTGGTATGCAGCTTATGCCACCTGCATCCCACCAAGTGAGTCTGACAACACCCAAACTATCAATGAGATGAGTCCACCAGTCACACACCTGCATATCATGATAATGGTGCATTCCAATAAAAGTTTCTAAACATTTATTCTCAATTTCTATACTTATCATGGACCAGCAAAAAACAGGTCCGCAGACCATAGTTTAAGTAGCATAGTAACAAACAATTCTTAGATTGTTGAACATAATATAGAAAAATATCTTCATGACTTCATTGTAGAACATGTTTTCTTAGACTGAATTTCAAAAGCACTAGAGGAAACACAGGTTAGTTTCAGTATACTAAAAATAGGAACTGCTTATCAGAAGTTACTATTAAAAGAGTGGAAAAAAAAAACCCAAAAGCTATGAAAACACATTTGCAATATATAGAATAAAAGACTCTTTTCTCTGTTTCTAGACTAACATAAAATCCAGACTGATAAATTGAACGATATTTTTTAAAATAGTTTACATACCCCCCTAAACTACAAGAAAAGTCAAAAGATAAATGGCAAATAGGGGGAAAAAATGCATGCAGCTTATATCCTAGACAATAAACTAATATGCCTATTATGGGCCCGGACATGGTGGCTCACACCTGTAATCCTAGGCGGACGGATTGTTTGAGCTCAAGAGTTCGAGACCAGCCTGAGAAAGAGCGAGACCCCATCTCTACTAAAAAATAGAAAGAAATTAGCTGGATAACTAAAAATATAGAAAAAAATGAGCCAGGTATGATGGCACATGCCTGTAGTCCCAGCTACCTGGAAAGCTGAGGCAGAAGGACTGCTTGAGCCCAGGAGTCTGAGGTTGCTGTGAGCTAGGCTGATGCCACAGCACTCTAACCCAGGCAACAGAGTAAGACTCTGTCTCAAAAAATAATAATAATAATGATAATAATATGCCTATTGTAGAAACAGCTCTTAAACATTGAGAAAGAAAAAGACCCAGATAGAAAAAATAACAAAAGATATGAGTAGGCAATTCAGTAGAAGAAATAAAAATGGCCCTTAAACATAAAAAAAGAAATACATATCTAAACTTTACTGAGAGACCACTTCTCATCTATCAAACTGGCAAAAATCTGAAAGTTTGAAGACATACTATGTTGATGGGTATGTGAAGAAACAGGCACTCTAAAGCATTGCTGATGGGAATTCAAAATGCTGTAGTACCTATGGAGTGAAAAACTACCTACATATTTACCTTTCGACCTAGTGTTCCCAAAGATGCTAGCAAAAGATGAAATGACTATACACGAGATTATTAATTGGAGCATGATTTGTAATAGCAAAAGATTGGAAAACAAACCAAATGTGCATCAATAGGAGCACTTGTGAAACAAATCATGATACATCCTCTCAAAAACAATAAAATACAATGCAGCTATAAAAATAAATAGGAAGAGTCTATCAACTGTGATGCTGTGGTCTCCAGGAGAGATCGTTAAAGGAGAAAAGAAAGCTGCAATATATAGTTGCAACCTCTTGGGTAATAAAAATGGAATGATATATATATATTATATATATATATATATTTGTTTATACTAGCTTATACTAGCAACAGCAACAAAAAACCACTGAAAGATAAATCAAAAAATGAATAAAAAGTTATTCATAAAAGCATGGAGAATTGAGGGATAGAAATAAGACTTCTCTTAATATACTTGTTACATAGTTTTGATTTACATATACAAAAAATTAAATCAAAAATAAAAAAGTAATTTCTGAAAACTAAAAATAAACAAACCTAACTGCAAATCAAGATGATGATATAAAACAATTTTTTTCTCTTTGTGGGTTTAATGGATTTAAAAACAACATTTTGACTGTATTTCCATAATAGAATATATTCTAAGGATAAATAGAACTAAAAAAAATGTCAAGCTTCACACAATAGTCCTTTTTATGAAAATCAATATATCGATTGGCATTGTATTTTGCAAGTATTCTTTACATTCTTACAATGGATAAAGCAAATGCTTATATTAATGACATTAGGAAATGAGATTTTTAGTATAAAAAAAGAGATGCAAGTTAAAAATTATAGAAGTTTTTAAAAAAAACATATTGTTAAATTGATCTGGAAATATTTGTACAAATTCATTATTCTTTCTTTTTCCAACTATATATATTTCCTAGTTCTGTCTATTGAAAAGGGCTAGAAGCAATAGTAACCCATTAACAATAATCACTCCTAGTACCCAGATTGTGGTCTCTAAAAACCCTTCCCTCACTAAAAGAAAATGGGCATCCTTGGAGGAAAGGCTGATTCCAAGACTGGAGCAGAAAAAATACATATCATGAATCTGGACATCTTGTTATGCCAGAAGGTAAATTATCAAAGACAAATGCAGTCATACCACTGAACACAGGAGGTAACCCAAAGGGATTTCTTCATTGGATGTACATGGAACAATTGGAGCATCAAGAAGACTAATAACTGCTGTTGATTGAAATACATAATATATTAAATCCAAGAGCTCATAATCATACTAAAAAAAAGGAGGCACGCAAGAACAAAAACTTTTCATGATCATTAGTGGAGTTGGCTAAATCCTTACTCCAACAAGTGGCAATTAAAGGGAAACATATGAATGCTTATCTTCTTTCCCATTAAAAAGGAAACCAATAGCCCTAACAGATGAAGGAAAGTTCTTCCTTGCAGAAGAATTACAGCTAATGAATGCAGAAGAAATGACAGAATTAGAAAATCACCACTTGTTTATGAATATAGTAATATGCATCTCATTAAGATGTAAACAGGGACAAGGTTTCCAGATCCCCTTCTCTTATAAGACCAAAACTGTCAGCAAGAACCCCAAGAACTAAACCAAAATGTTTAGGC